CGTGTTCAATTCAAAATATTTTTCATGATTATTAATGTATGTTAATAAAATATTTCTTGACACGCCCAGTGATTGCTGATTTCTAGTGCTCAACTGCACATGACAAATTGTAATAAAATTGCTTTTAACACCACCTACTATGTGGCATTTTTACCCTGATCATATTTTTTAAACTTTAAGTAAATTCAGTAAAAAAAAATAAATAAAAAAAAAGGATTTCTCTAAGTAAATAAAAGTAAATTAGGTAATCAACCCTCACTGGTCTCGGTCTCGACTTGGACTCGACCGTCTCTGGTCTCGGACTCGACTCTCTATGGTCTCGGTCTAGACTCGGACTCGAGTGAGGTGGTCTCAACTACAACACTGTTGTTTTCCCACCTATCGACTGATAGCTCTAATATCCCAATGCTGAGAGAAATGGGAAGCAATCGCACTTTACTATTTGCAATTAAAAATGCAGGGGCTCAAGACCGGCATGTATAGCACTGAAAGGTCCTTTACCTTGGTACACTCTTAAGGCGGGCATACACTGTGCGATTTTCGTCCGATTTTGAGCCGAATTCTGACTCGTGCGACTCATTTTCGTGTCGGACCGATTTTCAGCTTTGTCGTGCGTCGTTTGTCGTGCAGTGTTCGTGCAGTGTACAGGGAGAAACGAGAGGCGATTAACCTCTCACGATCGACAATCGGATGGTCGGATGAATTTCTGGCATGTCAGAAATTTTGGTCGCTCCTCGTGACTATATCGCACAGTTGAAGCAAAGCTACGAACCGATTGCCCTAAACTCAGTGTTTTTTCCCTCACTGCACCTGCGCGAAAACAGAAGTTTAACCATTTCATCTGCAGCAAAAATAAAATTAACATAAAAACGAGCTACAAGTTACTGTTGCTTACCTCCAGTTCGTGTTGCAAAATGGATAATATTACCCACCGTCTTCAAGCCACCTGATATGTAACACCTCTTTTATTATTTTGTCAAACAATGTTTTTGAAATAAACCTGTTTTTAATTTTCATTGATGATTAATAATGGCAATGTTCGGACATATTATAGACTGTTAATAGTTATTTTATATATAATTCATTGTAATCGACCTAAATCAATGTTTTAGACAATTTTTAATGAGGAGTAAGATTAATATTTTATTATCCTCACAGCACGTTGGTTATGTGCTGTGAAAATATTGCGTGGCAAATTAATTATAATAGCGGATCAATTTAATAGTAAAATTAGCCTATAGGCCTCCCCTAATAATGATAATATAATAATAATAATAATTAAATGCATAAATTGAAAATACTAAATCATCTTGATACTGATAGCAGATGCTTGTTTTGACAATATCTCTGGATACATACACGTAAATAGGCGCAATCCAGGGGGTTATCGCAGATATTACACGTATAGTGTGAGCAGTGAAGTCGCAGCTCGACGATTGGACCGTACAGTGTGAGCACATAAATCCTGAACTTTGGCTTTGCATCGCATGCGATTTACTCGTTCAGTGTGAGTAGGTACCTTGCTGAAATCGCACAGACATCGCACAGTGTATGCCTGCCTTTAGAAGAAATGGTTTATTTAGAACCAGAAATGGTTTCATCACCCGCTTCATATATGGAACTCCAAAATGGTTCTACTGTATATAGAACCATTTTTTGGGGGGTAAAAGGTTCTATTGGCCAAGAATGGAACCCCAGGGTTCTATATAGAACCCAGAGGAACCCTTTTTTAAGAGTGTATAGAACCTTTTAGGGGTTCCAAATACGTAGCGCTGATAGAACCTTTTAAGGTTCTATATAGAACCTTTTCTTCTAAGAGTGTAAAATAGAGCAAGCCCAGTCCAGGTGAGAAAAAGTAGCTCAAGAATCATTTCATTTATTGTTCAAAGTTGATGTTCTGTGTCAATTGCAAATGTTTCATTTTTTTGTTTTAGTCAACTCATGGATCTAGGTCAGCCATTTTATAGGAACTCCTTCAACCTAAAGTGATTGACGAAGTGTTGTAGTGATGGTTAGTGACAGGACCTCCTATCTTAACACAGGTCTTCCCGAGGAGCCATGGGGCTCTCCGTCCCCCTCTTGACCCTACAGATTCTTAGAATACCACATGGTCAATTCTAGGAAGAGTCGCGGTGGTTTCAAACTTCCTCCACATGTCAATAATGAGACATGCATCTGGGAAGCTTGAATTTTACAGCTTTTTCCAGCTCAAGACATTGACGCAGTGCTGTACTGGAGGTCGATGGCGGTTCTGGTTTCTGCTGTGTGGTTGAATCGTCTGGCCGGACGTTAAGTAAGGGATAATGTACATCAAACCGGTTGTTATCTCAGAATAAACATCGACATGGTGATCAAAGCAGAGGCTACGATACTGGCAGGCATAATATTAAATAATATACAAATTGTAATATTTTATTAGCTCACCAAAAGCAAAACTTTTTCAATGGATGTTATTGTGGAGTAACGTACCGCTGGATGGTGCAATTGACCAATCAGAATCAAGTATTCCACAGAGCCGTGTAATAATTGATCATATCAGCAACCGATGAGATTTATTAGGAGTGTAACAAAATATTGTGTCACAATACTTTATATGACAATATGTATTGTGTTTAGTTCACACAAAATAATAATTACTGTGTGAGAAAACAAGTTTTATTGTCAGTACTACATTAAAGGGATACTCCACTATTTTTGGAAATAGGTTCATTTTACCACTCCCCCAGAGTTAAACAGTTGAGTTTTACTGTTTTCAAATGCAATCAGCCGATTTTCTGCTATTTAGAAGAATATCAGTAACCAGACAGTTTCTGGTCTCATTGACTTCCATAGTAGGAAAAAATATACTATGGAAGTCAATGAGACCAGAAACTGTCTGGTTACTGACATTCTTCTAAATAGCAGAAAATCGCCTGAATGGATTCGAAAACGGTGAAACTCAACTGTTTAACTCTGGGGGAGTTGTAAAATGATTGAATGATTTCCAAAAAAAGTGGAGTATCCCTTTAAAGTGCTATATTTGTTGAATACTGTATAATGTAGTGCATATAATGTGGGTTCTGATAACGCCAAATGTCTAATGTTACCAGTAAAAAGTGGCCTAAATTACTATAAATATATCTAGTCATAATCATCTTCAGAATCATGAATATGTTTGTTCTGGTGTCTCTATTGTCCAAGTCCAAGCCTGTTCATTTACACCCATATTGTAATACCAAATTTAGCATTTAATCAAAAGAACATTTTAGCATATGTCTTGGAGAATCGCAATAATGTTGTATGGCGAGTTCAGTATCTTGATATGTATCGAATTGTGACATGAGGGTATCGTTACACCCCTATGATTTATGTTTCACAATCCTTAAAACACAAAACATGGTTAAAATTTTAAAAAAAACTTTTGTTGATAATTTACTCACACCCATGTCATCCAAGATGTCCATGTCTTTCTCTCTTCAGTCGAAAAGAAATGAAGGTTTTTAAAGAAAACATTCCAGGATTTTCTCCATATAATGGACTTCAATGGGAACCAAACTGTTCAAGGTCCAAAAGACATTTTCAGTGCAAACTGCAAACTGTTCAAAGGGCTTTAAACGTTTTCAGACGATGAATAAGGGTCTTATCAAGTGAAACGATCGCTCGTTTAAAAAATAAATAAAAAAGTTTAAGTTTTATAAGCTCAAATGGTCGCCTTGCTCTGTTCTGTGATGCACGTTCGTGACTCTCCTGTTCTAACTCGTTTATTAAAACGAACAAATCTTTTTTTGAGTCATTTGGGTCATTCAACGAACGAAATGAATGAGTTGACTCTGGAAAAGATTTGTTAATTTTGATGAATGAGTTCGAACAGGAGAGTCACGCACGCAAATCACAGAACAGAGCAAGGCAACCATTTGAGCATATAAAACTTAAACTTTGTTATTTTTTTTTTTTTAAATGAGTGATCGTTTCGCTTGATAAGACCCTTATTCATCGTCTGGAATCGTTTAAAGCGCTTTTGAACAGTTTGCAGTTTGCACTAAAACTGTCTTTTGGACCTTGAACCGTTTGGTTCCCATTGAAGTCCATTATATGGAGAAAAATCCTGGAATGTTTTCATCAAAAACCTTAATTTCTTTTCGACTGAAGAAAGAAAGACATGGACATCTTGGATGACATGGGGGTGAGTAAATTATCAGCAAAAGTTTTTTTTAAAAGTGAACTACTCCCTTAATTTCGAGACACTCTGACAGTTTAAATGAGTTCAGTGAAGGATTCATTGAACTGATTCAAACCCGTAACTTATGAGCAGTTTTTCATAAAAGTGATTTCATCACAAACCTGAGTACACTATAACTTACACTATAAAAAAATAATAATACAGTTTGCTGCGGAAGGATTTTTTAAATTTAAAAGCATGCTCAATAATTTTGCCAAATAAGGATCAAGAATTATTAAATATACTGAATGAGTATGAAAATGTGTTTCTTATTGTTATAAATATGAATTATAATTATTATTCATATTTATTAATATTTTTCTGAAACTTCACATTGTCGTGACAGTACTTTTTTGGTGTGAAATAAATATACAAAGCTAAAATGTAAAATATGTGGAATAATGTTTGAATTCACTGCATCTGTCTGTAAACGTCCTCCACCCTGCCTCCAATCAAAATAACAGCCAGACATAAACACAATGGTTATTTAAATCTGCCTCTGAGATTGTTTGCTTAATTAACTCTCCATATAAACATCAGACATCTGCTGACAAATACCAATGGGTTCAGACTTAAATCCGCTGTCCTTTGTTTTGCAATCTTTCACCAAGCAGAAGTAACCATCCGTATTGTGTTACGCTCTATGTACAGTAGGTCCGCGCGATCTCAGGCCCGAGGCTGTTTTGAATTGTGTACATAGTCCTGAGTAAATACATGTTTGCTCTGGTCAACAATGTGTGCAATTACAGGGTGGCCAAATTTGGCTGAAGAGGTTAATGACGCAGAGCTCCTCTTTGCTTACCTGAGGATCCCAGGAAGTAGCGCTCTAAAACTGATCCGAAGCCAGAAGGGTTGTCCCTAAGGTCGCTGACTGTGAAAGGCTGCATGGAAATGTTGGCATCGTTTATGGGCCAGTTGAGCGCATGGACACTGGCTCCTCCGTACCACGAAATATTCACCATGGAAAAACAGTCCTGAGAGAGAGAGAGAGGATAACTATCCTTAAAATGTATCATGGTCCATCTTTATACCAAAGCTTGATGACTTATTGCATGTGAAAGTGCCAACACATTTACTGATCGAGTTCCTGCATGCATATGGACATGCATATCTAGCTAAGAAGCTTTAGGCTCTCATAACACATAAAAACAGGTGCAGAACATCTAAAAGTCAAAGGATTGGACTGAAGAATGTGTTCTTAGGCTTAAATCTGAAATAACTCATGCCAGAGCATTACAGAGGGATGAAAATGAAGGGATTAAACTGGGAAACTTCCGAACAGCTTTAGGTTTGCTGAACAAAGAAAGTCATTGTCTTGTCGGATATCTGTGAAATGTATGTAACATTGTACTTTATCTTTGTGGCCGCTTCAGTGCGGTGAACTTTAAACCCTGCTTCATTAATCGCGACTAATCACATCTAACAAAAAAGTTTGTGTTTATATGCGTATGTGTTTGTATATGTATGTACACAGACATTATTTGACAGCATGAATAAAAAAAGATGAATGCTGCAAGTAAACAGAATATTCACATTTTATCTATATTCTTTATCAACACTGGGAAACAAGAAACCACTTAATAATTATTTATAAATATGATATTTTAACATAGGCCTAATTATGGAGGATAAAGCAATTTGGAGAATGGATGGATTAGCTTTATGTTTCAGTTGGTATTAAATTTGGAATATTTTAGTATCCACAAGTCAAGGCGTGTATTTTCATTGGACAATTTCACCGGAGGTAACCATAGCAACTATAGCGATAGCGATAATCTAATACATAGTGATGATTTATTTTATTCGTTTTTTTATTTGAATATTACAAATTTTTCACAAAAATATGGTGTTTTTTTTTATCAGACTTTAAATTGACGTTTAGCGATAAGTTTGGTTTCTGTGCGAGAAATTTCGTATCGAACTTTTTAAAAGCCAAAAAAACTACCCGAAAATCACTATACAAGCACAACTATTTTACCTGGTTTTTGGTTCGCTAGTTTTTACATATTTTTGAGTAAAAAAAAAAAAATGTTTAAGTTTCTTCAAATCAGATGAAGAAGGTGTGGGGGAAACAAATACGATTTGTTTTTGAAAAATAATACTAAGCTATTTTTGTGGGACTTAAAAACGGATTTTAAAAGACATCAGGTTTTATAAAAAAACACTATTTTGGTTCTGTAACAACCTATATTTTCAAGAGTAAAGTTCCAATGATATTTTACCTTCAGATCCACATGGCAGTGAATTGGAGTCCAAGTTACACTATAGCACTCAGTATCCGAGTCCTCTTCCGATTCCAAAGATATCTTCACCTCTGCGACCGAATCCCAAGTGTAGCAGAACTCGGTTTTGTTAAGCCAGCACATGTTCCTCACGAACGGAACCTCAATATCAGTGTTCCCCACGTTCTCCACGTCTATCTCCGCAAAAGTCTTGTCCTCAGTCAGTGTCTGTATGACCAGAGTTTGCGTCCGTCTCTCCCAAATGAGCCCACTAAAGCTCCCCTTAAGGATCCAGTTCTTGTTGGGCTGATCCACAACTTGCCAATAAATGATCCCAATTGTCATGACAAAAAAAATAGCAACTCCCAAGCATGCAATAGCTCCTTTCCAGGTCTCGTTCATCTCTTTCAACCCCGTGTCCCATGTCACCTCTGGGATTGGACTTGGGTTCCTGTTGCGAGTGTGTGGCATGGTGATTTCAGAAATAAATAAAAAACAAATCTAATCGAAAGTGATGATAAAAAGTGACAACCTCGCTGCTAAAACATGCAGAATCGTCATCATGTCCCGGTCCTTCACGGTAACGCGTTCGATTGTCTGTGAATGTGACTTTTTGGAATTTGATCTAATTGCGTTGTTGCGCGCACCGGCCGCCGGTCATCAACGGATCAAGTTCTCCAAACAGAATCATTTCAGAATTAATCAGAAATTTAACGCATGCTGCTTCTAGTGCAAAAGAAAGTTTAAAGCATTGATCGCAGAAGAGTGAGCAGCCTTACCCGGGTTTGGCAGCAATGCCTACAAATAGCACCTCAGCGGCTTATTTGCTTGGCCGGCACTTTTGCGCGCTGGTGTGACGTAACTCCATACTGCTTCTTCAGAAAGGTAAAAGAGAAAGTGATTAGGCGAGCTTTGCGATTAGCGGGGCCCCTGATCAGGGGCCGGACAGAGCGCAGTGTGTGATGAATCACCCATTCTCAGTCTGAGTCCACGCGCTGGGCATTTTGGAGACGCGCGTGCAGAGTGATTTACTCGCATATGCATAAGCGAAAGAAACACGCATTAACCTTGCGCACAATGTTTCAGCAGGTGCACCAAGTAGGCGATTACTCCCACACTGTTGGTCTAATTTTCTCCAGAGGAAAGCGGAAAATATGCATTATTGTTTAAAGATTTAACCGCTTTATCTGTGTCTTTAAGCACCATGCAGTGCATCGTATGTGTATTGTACAGTGGTGGAGGAAGTACTGAATCTCAGTACTTAAGTAAAAGTACAAATAACCAGATAAATATTTACTTTAGTAAAAGTAGAAGTAACACAATGACAACCATACTTAAGTAAAAAGTAAAAAGTACCTGATTTTAAATGTACTTTAAGTATTAAAAGTAAAAGTACTTGCATAATAATTGATTCTCTTAATGACTATTTTCTAATGATTAATAAAACATTTAATTCTAACTCATTCAACCTAATACTCCTATAATGATGTTCAATAATGATGGAAACAATTTTTTGTCACCATTTCTGAAACAAGCTTGCAATTAGGCAATATAAGCCATATCTATATGTAAATAACTATGTTTGGCAGTAAACGCGATTAATTTATGGTGTAATTCTGAACCTCTGGGCTTGCCATAATCCTAACCAAACGTATCAGAGATGACTAAGAGGTTGACCAGTAAATTACTTGGTGTGGATATCAAAGATAGAGTGTACTGTGTCCTTGACAGTAATCCTGTAATCCTCATGTACAGTGACTCCAAAAGCAGAGCCATTAAGATGAATGCCCATGGTGGAACCAATGAACAGAGGAGCCAGGAGCACGACTGACTGAGGTGAAGCCAGGAGAGGTGGAGATCCAGGTGGATCCAAGTAGAGGAAGACCCAGTGTGATACCACTGGGCTGGAGGGCATGGTGGAACTGCAGGCTCGCAGGACTGATGTGGAGACAGGGCATACCATACCGTGGCATAGCCAGTGGATTGAGGACAATGATGGAGCCGGAAGGAAATGATGAGCCTGGTGGAGCCAGAGGGGTGAAGGAAAGAGGTGGAGCTGGAGGCACTGGAAGTCCATGGTGTAATCAGGGTGATGCCTGACCAATCCAACGCCAGAGGGACGAGGGAGCCCGGCAGAGCCTGAGGGATGACAGACCATGGTGTTGCCAAGGGAGCGTCGGGCCAAGGTGGAGCTGAAGGATTGACAGGCCAAGGTGGAGTCATCGGCTCAAAGGCACGAGGTTGAGCCAGGGGATCTGCGCACCTAGACAATGCTGGTAAACGGAAAGCCCAAGGCAGAGCCAGGAAGCAAGGCCAGAGGAGGAGGACTTGATGGAACCAGCTAAGGCGGGGCCAAGGAGCATGAAGTCAGAGCAATGTTTCTCCCAGTGGGAGGCTTGTGGCTGGGCCGAACCAGTGGCGTCAAAGGACTCTTGGGGCTGGGTGGAACTAGTGGAGTGGGTGAAGGAGCTTGGAAGCCAGGCAGGACCCGTGTAGTAGGTGAATGCGTTAGGAGATTGAACGAGACCCACAACAGCATGTGTGTGGTGAGCTCATGCTCAGTGTCCAATCATATTCAGAATGCAGGTTTAGGCTCTGGGATGGCAATGGCTCAAGTTTGAGCTCCTGCATGGACATTGGGGCCGGCTTACACACCTGGTCAGACTCGGCTGGCTTTGGCTCTGGGTCTGTGGTGGGCTCTGGCTTTGAGTCCTTGGCAGGCATGGCACTGTCTCTGGGTCTATGGCTGGCATGAGGAGGTGTGGAAAATGACTAGGGAGGAGTTCCCAGGCAGGTGGGGTCACCGGAACAAGGATTGATGATGACTGTATGGTGGTCGTGGGGTGAGGAGGTTGCAGCTAAATGTCCTCTTCTTCCATCTCACCGACAGTGAATGGTGAGCCACTCGACCACAGAGCATAGTCCATATATTGTGCCAGCGTGCAGGTGGCGAATACAACTCATTTAAAATGAGTTCAAATAAATATTTGAAAAGCTTACACAACAAATATGATTAATACATATGCATGTACACAAAAGTAGAGTATGGGCACACCTATTCATTCTTAAATACCCTTATAAACTATAGACAATTTTTATAGTGGAAGCTGTAAAGGATTAGCCTGGCTGCGCCCTCCTACGCACTTCCGCTCAATTTCATTTTCCTTCAGTACTACGTGCTATGTACTATGTACAAATGAAATGTATGTACGAGAGTCTGGTAGAACCAGGCTAGTAAAGGATTCCCAGAAAAAAAATAGTGTTGAAGCCACTCACAGGCATGCGGGCCTGAGACGTTCCCTTTTGAGGGAACTCCACGCTGCGTCTAACATTGATGCGATTGGGAACAAAATACCCATTGCGCCATACTGATGAATGCCTGTCCTAGTGTGAAGTCATTATGCTACGTTCACACCGGACGCGAATAGGGCGTCAGGCGCGAATGATTTCAATGTTAAGTCAATGCAAAGACGCTTTACGCGCGTGAAAAATTCCTGCGGCGCGAATGAGGCGTGGAGCGCGGCGCGGAAGACGCGAATACGCCTCGTTGGCGCGAATGGCGCGAATTGAGCGTCGTGCATTCACGCGTTTGACGCGAATTCGCGTCTGCCGCCCGAGTTGAAAAATCTGAACTTTGGCGTGAATTCGAGCCGCGTTAACCAATCAGGAGCCTTGCTGCTTGCTCACGTGGTGAAGTGTCTGGATGCTTCAATAAATTATTTTGTTAATATAACTAAATGCATGGTGGGATTATGCACAACAAAGCAAATGTTTCATCACTTAAAACATTATTTCTATATACAGTAGGAGACATGTTCATTTTGTATTGAATGTTATTCATTCCATATCTAGAAATAGTATTATGTTGTAAAGACAATCAACATATGTGCATAAATTCGTGTCTGGACGTGAGAAAGAGAAAAAAAATCACAGGACAGGTTAATAACTTTTGAAGGCTGGCTCTATTTTTCATCAAAACAAAAATGACAGCTAGATTAGATGGATGAGGGCGAGGGTGATCCTCGCTCAGATGCGGGACAACAGGTCATCAAACTGGGCGCGTGACAGGCGGAAGTACCGCTGACAGCGGCCGTCATCCAGCGCAGCTCCTGGAGCGAGCAAATGGTGAAACTCGCCAAACGGTTCGGCTCCGAAGGGTCCGGTGGACACAAATATACGGCGACGATGATCCCCACACCGCTGTTCTGCTCTCCAGAGTAAATACAGAGCGGTAACTCTCTTGATGAATGCTCGGTCGACATAAAAACAATGGCCGCCAACGGATTTTGATTCTGACGCGCGTAAATTTCGCTTCAAACTTTACGCGCGCCAGTTTCGCTCTTGACACGCGAATTAACACTAGTGGTCAAGCGTCAAACTAGACGCGTCAGGCGCGAATTTGACGCGCGATTCGCGTCCGGTGTGAACGTAGCATTAGGAGCACAGCTTGGGACTAAAACATTTGTGACCCTGGTATGTAGTCCAGATCCATGCTATGAAACCTTATAAAAGTGTGCGGGGAAGACCAGCCCGCAGCATCACATACTTACTGAAGTGAGACTTCTGACAAAAAGTTTTAGAAGCTGCCATACTCCTGTTATCGTGGGCTCTCTCAAGCAGATAGAAGGAAAATTGGGTGTACCCGATCTTCAAGTCTTACTACCAGTGTAGTCCAGTGAACGTACTGTAAGTCTCAAGAGCCATTACTGGGCAAATCAGATTTAGCTTATCTTGGTCCGCTAACCCAAAATGATGAAGATGACAGGCCTGCAAGAACATGTAATGCAAGATTGTAGGTACTTAAGGCACATACCAAAAGTGTAAGATGGCTAGGGTGTAAGATGGCTTTGACCCTACCCTGGGCAAACTCTAGGCAGGAGGAGGCAACTGGCAGAGCCTGCAAATTTCCTACCCTCTTAAGGAACATAAACACCAAGAGAAATGCCATTTTTAGTGTAAGGAATTTGTCAGATACTGAGTCCAGAGCCTCGAAAGGTGCCAGGGACAACCCTTCTAGCACCACGGCTAAAACCCAGGCTGGAAATCCCACGTGAACTGCAGGCCTCAAAGTGCCACATGTGAAACAGGTTATTAAATGGTGCTCCCTGGTTCAGGTACCCAGGGATGTGATCTGCTCTCTGGTGCGCCAGTCTGCAAAGAGGATTTGACCACAGGACCCCCCTGATGATTTATGTACGAGACTACCGATGGGTTGTCTGGACGGACAAGAATATTATAGCCTGAGATCTGGGAGGAAGTACTACAAAGGTAGAAACAGCCATCTTCTCCAGGGAGTTTATGTGCCAAGAGAGATGATACCCTCTCCTCAAACCTCGAGTTGAGCAGCCCTGGAGGATCTTGCCCCAGCAGTGGCTGACTGGCAGGGAGTGCCCGAACCAAATCTGATAGCACCCCCCGTAGAAACACACATCTCAGTGACGCAAATATACTGGGCAGAAACTAATGGCTTGCTCTAAGACCTCCACACCTCGTTGTGTAGATCTGAAAAGAAGAGCAGGCCTCAATGATTGAGCTTTGCTAGGCAAATATACTCGTCCAGTTCACTCTTGCGATATGCTTCCTGGTTCTCGGCCCGCCAATCGCTGTTTAATTAAGCTATGGCCTAAATGATAACCTCCACCAGCTCCTCGTGAGCAGGGGAAAGAGGTGGCGAGTCCTTTAAATCCCCTGCCTCGATGCTCACGATATCCATGATCGCAGGCTTCTGTATCTCAAGTGAAATCACTGGAACCCACGGGTGAGAGCCAAGAAAGGGCTGATCCCGTCTCAGACTCCTCCGCAAGCCCCATTTACGACCCCCATGATTGGACCTAAACCACAGGGGGCACAAATCTGGTCGCGCTCATC